AATGAATTTTTTATATTTTAAATGAAAACTTATAAGAATTGTCAGTACAGCACAGGAGGTTGGTGGCACCTTAATTGGGGAGGACGGGCTCGTGGTAATGGCTGGAATAGATGGAATGGTATCAACAACATCAAACACATGGTTTCCAATTGATGCAATTCCATTGGCTCCGTTCCAGCCATTATTATGAGCCGTCCTCCCCTCAGCAGCATCCACTGCAGTACAAGTACTGGAACGAGCTGCAAAAAACACTCAAACTGGAAAGTTTTATCTCCATCTCTTCATTCAAAGACTCAATCATGGACACTCTTACTGACAGTTGTGACTGCTTCGCGTGATGTATTGTTGTCTCTACCTTCTTGCCTGTGTGCTGTTGTCTGTGCCCAATAATGTTTGTACCATGTTTTGTGCTGCTACCATGTTGTGTTGCTACCATGTTGTTGTCATGTGGTGTTGTTACCATGCTGTGTTGTCATGTGTTGCTGCCATGCTATGCTGTTGTCTTAGGTCTCTCTTTATGTAGTGTTGTGGTGTCTCTCTTGTCGTGATGTGTGTTTTGTCCTATATTTTTATTTTTAATCCCCCATCCCCGCAGGAGGCCTTTTGCCTTTGGTAGGCCGTCATTGTAAATAAGAATTGGTTCTTAACTGACATGCCTAGTTAAATAAAGGTTCAATAAAAAATAAATAAAAGGAACACTATACAGTATATACAAAAGTATGTGGACACCCCTTCAAATTAGTGGATTCGGCTATTTCAGCCACACCCGTTGCTGACAGGTGGATAAAAGTGAGCGCACAGCCATGCAATCTCCATAGACAAACATTGGCAGTAGAATGGCCTTACTGATGAGCTCAGTGACTTTCAACATGGCACCGTCGTAGGACGCCACCTTCCAAACAAGTCAGTTCGTCAAATGTATTCCCTGCTAGAGCTGCCCCGGTCAACTGTAAGCGCTGTTATTGTTAAGTGGAAACGTCTAGGAGCAACAACGGCTCAGCCGCGAAGTGGTAAGCCACACAAGCTCACAGAACGGAACCGCGAGTGCTGAAGCGTGTAGCGTGTAAAAATAATCTGTCCTCAGTTGCAACACTCACTACCGAGTTCCAAACTGCCCCTGGAAGCAACGTCAGCACAATAACTGTTCGTCCGGAGCGATGCCGAGCGTCGGATGGAGTGGTGTAAAGCTTACCGGCAGTAGAAACGCGTTCTCTGGAGTGATGAATCACACTTCAGCATCTGGCAGTCTGAAGGACGAATCTGGGTTTGGCGGATGCCAGGAGAATGCTACCTGCCCCAATGCATAGTGCCAACTGTAAAGTTTGGTGGAGGAGGCATAATGGTTCGGGCTAGGCCATTTAGTTCCAGTGAAGGGAAATCTTAATGCTACTGCATACAATGACATTCTAGACGATTCTGTGCTTCCAACTTTGTGGCAACATTTTGGGGAAGGACCTTTCCTGATTCAGCATTACAATGCCCCCATGCACAAAGCGAGGTCCATACAGAAAATAAATGGTTTGTTGAGATCGGTGTGGAAGAACTTGACTGGCCTGCACAGAGCCCTGACCTCAACCCCATCGAACACCTTTGGGATGAATTGGAATGACGACTGCGAGCCAGGCCTAATCGCCCAACATCAGTGTCTGACCGCACTAATGCTCTTGTGGCTTAATGGAAGCAAGTCTCAGTAGAAATGTTCCAACATCTAGTAGAAAGCCTTCCCGGAAGAGTGTAGGCTGTTATAGCAGCAAAGGGGGGACCAACTCCATATTAATGTCCATAATTTTGGAATGAGATGTTCGACGAGCAGGTGTCCACATACTTTTGGTCATTTAGTGTATGTGTACATTCGGAATATGATTATTCCTCAATGTGTTTTGTAGCCTATACATGTTTGCTATAGTACCAGTCCTGTGAAAGAACTTGATTATAGGATGCTATGTAGCCTACAAAAACACTTGCCTCATGATTCCAGATCATGACTCATGCCCTTTATACTACGAAAAATTTATACATTTCAGATTGTTGACACCAGACTTAAAGGGGAGATACCTTAGATAACATTCTTGACTACATGACTCCAGGGAAGAACAGGAAACATTCATATATCACATAACTCAAATCCTGTTCAATAAAACATGCACACACGTTCAGCTTGTTGTAGACACCCCTCTACATGGAAGTAGACACGAGGAGGTCTACAGTACATTGGCCATTCATCACAGACAGCTAGATAGATAAACACCCACATGCCTGGCATAGCAACGTCCCAGGCGCACCAGACAGACTGCACGTACACCTCGGCATTTAAGATGCGTCTCCTCTATAAGCTGCGAGCGACACTTCCCTTCTATCTGCAGTGGGCCACCGAGGGGAGGGGGGGGGTACTTCTCTGTAGTCCTTCAATAACAGGAAGCAATCCACCGCTCTGTGGTCATCGTCTGTCATCGCTGGTCCAGCGGGTCGACGCGGGTTTCAGCATGGTGCCATGGGTTTCCATGTCGCCAGCCAGCAGCACGTCAGTCTGAGGGGGACGTTTGTAAAAGTGTCCATGCGCCAGCTCACAGGTTTCCTTATGACTCTCATGGGTTCTGGGGCAAGGCAGTGTGTTAGCAAAGGGCTTTGAAACATGACGTGGGAGATAGGCAAGGCTGGAGCTGGAGGTCATACAGTGCATTTGTTAAATCATGGAGGCCCTCGTTGGGTTTTCTTTGATTCATAGTATTGGCCTAAGGCTGCAGGTGTACATGTAGGCCAGTGGAGGTTGTTGACGGAAGGACGGCTCATAATAATGGCTTGAACGGGGTGAATGGAATGGCACCAAACCATGTATTTGATGTATTTGATACCATTCCACAATTCCGCTCCAGCCATTACCACAAACCCATCCTCCCCAATTAAGGTGCCACCAACCTCCTGTGATATAGGCCTATCAAGCATTTGTCTATCCTCCCCTTTTCTCACTCTACCAGCCTCCACTGATTTGTATGATGGCTGGTGAAAGGAATGCATTGTAAAGTGCATTTTTTCTGTCGTATATGTTTTATGTAATGTAGGCTACTATGTGAAAGGCTGATTGAACTGGCCCATTTTGGTATCCTAATATGTGATGGCACACACACGCAATCACCCCCTCCCTCATTCTCCCTTATTGTTACCCCTACCTTCAAACTAGGTACAGTCGTGACATTCCTCACGCTCTTGCTGACTTCATAAAAGTGCTTACTGACGCCTTTTCTAATTGGCTTTCCAATGGACACATCCTCTCCCTAAGAAGCTAATTTCCACTTTCTCTTCCCCCCTTATCCCCCTTCCAGTGTAGCCATGGAGTCGTGAGCAGAGCGCTCCTTGGAGGATAGCCCGGATACCTGCTAGAAAGTGTTTGTGAGCCTACTGAGGGCTGTGTGTGAGATGTGAGGTACAGGAGGTGGGAAGTTCCAATAACACACTGGATGTACTGGTGTAGCAGTATCTCTACATCCTGTTGTGTCTGCATGCTCACTTCAGCACTTTTAGTAAAGTGGGGATTTTGTTGTTATGGGCCATGCATGGATTTTGAAAAGGTTGTTATTGAGTGGGTAAAGTTGGGATGTTTCAGGGATAGTTTTGATGTATGACTATGTTGAAACTATGCTTCATGGTTTCTGAAAGAGCTGTTTTATTTTATGGTAGCATGTTTTTTTAATGGTATATGCCAGGGGTAGGCAACCCTGTTCCTGGAGCGCTGCAGGTACTGCAGGATTTTGTTACAACTAGGCACCACACCTGACCAACTGAGCAGTTCAGTGATTGCCTAAATTGTTATTTTTTACCCACTTTTCGATCTTGTCCCATCGCTGCAGCTCCCCAACGGGCTCGGGAGGCAAAGGTCGATATGCGTCCTCCGAAACATGACCTGCCAAACCGCGCTTCTTAACACCCACCCACTTAACCCGGAAGCCAGCCACACCAATGTGTCGGAGGAAACACAATTCAACTGACAACCGAGGTCAGCCTGCAGGTGCCCGACCCACCACAAGGAGTCGCTAGAGCGCCGCCCTATGGGACTCTAGCACTGCAATGCAGTGCCTTAGACAGCTGCTCCATGCGGGAGGCCCAGTGATAGCCTAAATTCCAGGTCAGTTAAACCAAAAACATGAAGCACCTGCAGCACATTTTAGTCATTTAGCTGACACTCTTATCCAGAGCAACTTACAGTAGTGAGTGCATACATTTTCAAACTGGTCCCCCATGGGAATCAAACCCACAACTCTAGCATTGCAAGCGCCATGCTCTACCAACTAAGCTACACTGCACTCCAAGACCAGGGTTGCCTACCCCTGGTATATGCGGCAATAGGTTTGATCATCAAGTTTTTGCCCACTAGAGTGCAGTATTTTTTCAAATCATTTGCAAGTCAGGCAGACTGTAGAAGCAGTTAATTGGCCTACTTACGTGTGTTGTGTTGGGTTGTCTATAGTTTGTCTGACTTTGCATATTCCACTCATTTTTACACTAAAGTACTATATGCTGGGTCAATGGAATCTATGATATGGACTTACGGTAATTACATCTGCCAGTATGGAATCGTGTTCTGTTTTTATCTATGCTGCTAATAAATGGTTAAAAGACCCGACCAAAGATCCACGTTTGGAAAGCGGGTTGTTTTGCACACGTTTATGAACATTTGCAATCCTACCTGAGCTAGAGTGTCTAGCAGGAACGTTTAACTAGGTTATCCATAACCCATTCATAGATGATAACTACTTTTAGTGCCTATTGAAGATGGTATCTTCTGGCCTGGGAATTTTGGTTAAGACCCCCGACGCTCACTCTAAACGTTAAAACGCATCGCTTGTGGTACAGTTTTAGAAACATAAGGAATGTATCTTTCATATCAGTGAGAAATTATTTTCAAAAAACAAAAGGTTCAACTATACACACCTTTATAGGGTTGGGGTTAGGGTTCCCACATGGCCATATTTCCAAGTTACAGCACTTATTTATGGAAAACAGACAGAAGACAGAGGCATACCTGTGCTAATTAGCTATATGCGTCTCCAAACACATGTATGTAAACGGAAAACAGATGCCACAAATGTGTTGTCTCTGAAAAATACTGTTGGCTTCAACTGTGTTAAAACCGGTTAACAGTATATTTTTTGTATTTGTGAAATTATTTTGATATGATATGTAAGTAGAGGGCTTTTTGTTTCTAGAACCGAGCCGCAATTGAGAATCGATTCACATTTAGATGGAGTGTTTGGCTGTTTTAGCTGCCAGAGCCAATTTGCCTCTAAACAGAACATTTAAGGTCCTTGGACTATAAGGAGTAACGTTAGGCTCCTTTAGTACATTATTGGGTTAGGTTAGCCACTACAAAAGTAATAACTTACCTTTCGAGGAGATTGGATTAGTTCATCCTAATTGGATGGTATAGTTTTCCAGCAACAGATTACAACTGCAAAGTAATATTTACTTCCTTCGGAAAGGAAAACAAATCTCCTGCGCTAAAACACATTACCCAACCGGCCGCCAGATGGCGCTGTTATTCCTTGGGTCATTTGTCACCAGATGACAAACGACATAAGGAATAATAGCACCATCTGGCGGCCTGTTGGGCTAAACCTACATGAATAACGGCAGCAGATCAAAGGGCGCTGCACTATCCTACTACAGTAACATCACTTGATGATAGACATTGTGACATTTTCAAATAGGCACCTGCAAATAATACCATGTAAAGATTACAATCATAGTGTTTATTTATTTAAATCTTAAGGATAGCTTTTATGTTATGCATAATATTTTATAGCTTATCTGTTATGTGATGTAATGGGACATATCATGAGGTGTTAGACAGTGAAATAAATAAGAACATGGGCCTGCTGTATTTTCTTTTACAATGGTTGGTTACTATTGTACTCTTTTCCTGCTGTGGGAGAACTATACTATATCCTGAAAGCCTGTATGATGTAATGGCCTGCTGCCATGTCTGTCACTGCATGGCGTTTAGCACCAGCCATAAAGGAGTCTAGTCTCCATGCTTTCCCATATACTCCGGTGTCTATTTGGCGGCACAGGAGCAGAGAGTGCAGCCCAGAGCCACCCCAGGCAGGCATTGTACATGCACACACACACACACATAGACATACTGTACAGGAAGTGTGGAGAAGACATGGCGGACAAACAGGAAGTGAACAGTAGACTCTCAGGAAGTTATGACATTCTTGTGAATATGGCCGTATATGGGTGTCTGTTGTGGTTGGTGGACTGAAACAGGAGATTATTGCTGGAGAGGGAGTACAGTGTTAAATTAAGGCAGCGCTGTTCCTTAATGGTCTTTCATTATAACCAAGCCCACTGGGCACAGACATCAATTCAATGTCTATTCCACATTGGTTCAACTTAATTGAATTGAAATGACGTGGAAACAACGTTGATTCAACCAGTGTGTGCCCTGTGGGTGGTGACTCAGCAGATTGTTGCTTTCTTCGGCATAAGATGGACTTTTAGAAAATAATGACCAAAACAATGTTCATATCCAGTCATGTTGCTTTTTACTTCAGGTCATCGATAGCTTTGGCGACGTGTCCGAAGACTTCATCCACGGGCAGCTCAGAGTCAATCTGAGGAGAATGAGAGAGAGAAAGGCATGAAATGAGATTGCAATGTCGGTGGCGTCATCATTGTAAAATGATAAGAATTTTGAGAGAGAGAGTTGAGTTTTCAGAGTTTACAAGAGATGCAAGGTCAGACACTTGGGTATATTGTCACAATGTATATCTTTTTTTACATGCCACTTATTTATTTTGTTTATCTTACACTGTTTATCTTACACTGTTCTATGACACTCTCTTTCACTCTCTATCTCTCTCTCTTATGTTGGGATTCAACCAGTGGAGGCTGCTGAGGGGAGGACGGCTCATAATAATGGCTGGAACGGAACAAATGTAATGGCATTAAACACTCATTCCGCACCAGCCATTACCACGAGCCTGTTCTCCCCAATTAAGGTGCCGTCAACCTCCTGTGGATTCAACCAATGACAGTAGCCTATAACTAGTGCCGACAGTCTTACCTTCCTGACGATGCCGCGGCTGGAGTAGAAGGCGATGACTGGCTCAGTGGCTTTGTAGTAGAGGTCCAAGCGCTTCTTGATCGTCTCCTCGTTGTCGTCAGCGCGACCGCTGGTCTCACCGCGCTTCATCAGCCTCTTGACCATGGTCTCACCCTTGGCGTCAATGTACAGCAGCAAGCAGGGGGCTCCGATCTGTGAGAAGATAAACATAATGGTCAGGACAACTTTAAAAAGGTTGTTGAAATGATATAGTCCTCTTAAGTGGGAGGTGATGTGCTAAAGAAAAATATATTTTGAGAGAAGAACTGTGGGAAATTGAGGGATATTGAGCTATTGGTGATTTTTGAAAGGATGGGACACCTCATAAGTGCATAGGTTTCTCAACTTGCGTTCTGAGTTTTTTTGCACTGCTGCAACCTAATTGCACAGCAATGTAAAAATATGGATTTTCTGAATGTGAATCCATGTTCCTGTCTCGTCTTACTTTCTTCTCAAACTCCTCGCCCTGCTTGACCTCACGGGGATAGCCGTCGATGAGGAAGCCCTTGGACACGTCGGCCTTAGCGATCATGGCGTCCTTGATCATGTCCAAGACTGTGTCCTGGAGGGGGGCACATGTACTATTTATTGACATGAAACACACGCACCTTCATAGAAAGATGTTTGAACAATTTCACTTCTGTGTCGAAAAGTGACATAAAGTAACTTGTGATCACCAGGGTTTGGAACCAGAATTATTTTCCAATCGTTTCGTTCTGAACAGAACCATTATTTTTTTTGTTCTGTTCCACTGTTCCGACCAGCAAAATAAAGTTATGAACCGGTTCTAACCAAAAGAAGGTACCAGTTTATATCATTCCTTTCTGTTCCTTTTTAAACCTCTGAAATATATATATTTTTTACATTTAGTTCGACATTAAATGACTTCACCAATCAGTGTGGATGGAGCAGCTTGCTGTGGAGCGGGTAAGTGACTTAATCTATATAGGAAAGTCGTTAAGAGCAAATTGTATTTTGCCGTGACAGCATGGTTTAATCATAATGAAAGATAAACACACACACTATGCTGCCAGTCACAGTGTAGGGCGCGAGATGCAACTGAAATGTTGAGGATGAGGAGAGAGCGAGAGAGGATGGGGGAAGCTTGCTTTGAAGCGCTGGGCATCTTGTTATGACATGCATTATCTGAATTAGGCCCACAGAATTATACCTACGGAGGAGCGGCTTCTATGGAGGAACTTTGAATGTCTTTGAACTTCCGAGTTGGTTTAACGTTGGACCAGAGCAAATGTTAGCTAGCTAGCTAACAAGCTTGTGTGTGCAGAGCAGCACAATAATTAAAAACACGTCTTACCTTTTTGTGGTTAATAAATCCAATGTGAAAGGTGAAAACTATAGTATCCTTAACTAGCATTGAAAAAGTAAATCCATTCTTCACTAATTAAACATCTCTCCCAATTTTTTGAATTAGGCTTCTAACGTCATCATTAGGCTACAGTAACCTATGCTTCAGAGAGGAGGGGCAGTTAACCTACACATACGCACACCCACTGGCAAAGATTTCCAGCTGACAGGCAGACGCTGGAATAAGTTTGAGTGACATAGTGAGGGCTTTGCATAGGCGCTTTGTTGCGACTGGGAAAAAATGCCCGGGAACATAAAGGAACGTTATTAACTGGTACCCATGCTTTTAAAATAACAATTCTGTTCCGGAACAGTATAGATCACTTTCGTTTTCGGTTTGGGTTCTGTTCCTCAAATAATGTAATTATTTTCCTGTTTTTGGTTCTGTTCCCTGAACCGGTTCCAACCCTTGGTGAACACAATATCTGATTAAAATGAGTGTTAACCTGATTTATTGGTACTTATTGCAAGGAATTCAGCACAAACTGTACGTTATACCTTAAACCTGTGTAGTTAGACTATAATTACTGTAGTAACAACATTGTTAACATGTTATTACATAGTAACTGCTTTAGGGATGACTGTGTGCACTGTCCCAGCCACTTACCAGGGGTACGAGCTCTCCCTTCTGCATGATGGCCTGGAGGGTCTTGCCCCTCTCGGAGCCGGATGCTACCTCAGCACGCAGCAGGTCCCCAGAAGATAGGTGGGTGTAGCCATACTTGGCCACCACCTTCTCACACTGGGTGCCCTTACCAGAGCCAGGCCCACCTAGGGGACACATACAAGGAGGACAGGGGTTAGTGTTGGTTGGTTGGTGAATCCCATCTAACCATAACTTTAGTGGTGGTTGGTTTATGACACAGGGCTGTTGTGTATATTTACTGTTTACTTTAGTGCATTCTTTCAAGAGAAGTGTTGACTACACCTTATATCAGACATTTAGAACATGCATTTTGTGCTGTGTTGCCCGATAGTGTTGATTTTGAAAGAAGAAAATAAGATTATATATTATATTATTTCACTCACCTACAACGAAGATGATCTTGGCGTCCTTGATTTTGTCTAGAAGGAACAGAGACAACAGAGAAACATAGCTGGTAGTTCTAGAAACAACTTCAGACGATTACTGATTAACCCTGCAGCTTGCTGAGAGTAAACCAAGTTCACTCAAAGTTTTTGTAAGAGTGTAACAAACCATCATCAGAATGGACAATTTGTCTGGAGCAGCTGGCTGAGCAACCCATCTTGACATGGAACCTCTGCCTTCTTGGACTTATATACAATGGAGTTACCTTGGCAACCTTCGCCAACCACTTCACAATGCTTTGTGACCACATAGAAAATTGCCCCTAGCTAGCTCTGGGCTAAGATCAGCCAAATTCACTGTAGTCACACACATTTGGTAGCAATGTGGCGTATTTATGCATAATGGTCTGAGTTATTCCACATGAGAATATGCAGTGTTTGAGTCACTAGGGAATCCAAAAGTACCTTTTATTAAAGGCTTTTGAGATTTGTACATCTGGATTGGATAAGAGTCAAGCACAAGCAGTGTAAACCTATCTATATCTCAAGTGCCTTCAGAAAGTATTCACCCCCCTTGACTTATTCCACCTTTTGTTGTTACAGCCTGAATTCAAAATGGATTAAATCAATTTTTTTCTCAGCCATCTACACACAATACCCCATAATGACAAAGGGAAAACATGTTTTTAGAATTGTTTGCACATTTATTGTAAATGAACCCCCTGAGTCAATACTTTGTAGATGCACCATTGGCGGCGATTAAAGCTTTGAGTCGTCTTGGGTAAGTCTGTATCAGCTTTGCACATCTGGATTTGGGGATTTTCTGCCATTCTTCCTTGCAGATTTTTTCAACCTCTGTTAAGTTAGATGGGGAGCGGCAGTGAATAGCAATCTTTAAGTCTTTCCACAGATTTTCAATGGGATTTAAATCTGGGCTTTGGCTGGGCCACTAAAATACTTTCACATTCTTGTTCTGAAGCCATTCCAACGTTGCTTTGGCTGTATGCTTGGGGTCATTATCCTTTTGGAACATAAATCTTAATCCCAGTCTAAGGTTGTTTACACTCTGAAGCAGGTTCTCATCAAGGATTTGCCTGTATTTGGCACCATTCACTGTCCCCTCTATCCTTACCAGTCTCCCATTCCCTACCACTGAAAAGCATTCCATAGCATGATGCTGCCACCACCATGCTTCATGGTAGGGATGGTGTTAGACGGGTGATGAGCTGTGCCTGGTTTTCTCCAGACATAGCGCTTTGCATTCAGGCCAAAGAGTTCAATTTCTGTCTCATCAGAGCACAGAATCTTTTGCCTTATGAGCTCAGTCTTTCACGTGCCTTTTTGCAAACTCCAGGCGTGCTGTCATGTGCCTTTTTCTCAGGAGTGGCTTCCATCTAGCCACTCTCCCATAAACCTGAGATTGGTGAAGTGCTGTAGAGACTGTTGTCCTTCTGGCAGGTTCTCCCATCTCAGCCAATCAACTGTAGTTCTATCAGAGTGGTCATTGGGTTCTTGGTCACATCCCTGACCAAGGTCCTTCTTGCCCGGATGCTCAGTTTGGTCGGATGGCCAGCTCTAGGCAGAGTCTGGCTAGTTCCATATTTTTTCAATTTCCCAATGATGGAGACCACTGTGCTCTTCGAAACTTTCAAGACTCTAGAATTTGTTTTATACCCCTCCCCAGATATATGCTTCATCACAATTCTCAGAGATCTACAGACAGTTCCTTGAACTTCATGGTATAGTTTCTGCTCTGACATGCACTGTCAACTGTGGGACCTTATAGAGACAGATACGTGTTTCTTTCTAAATCGTGTCCCAACAATTGAATTGGCCACAGATGGACTCAAATGAAGTTGTAATGACATCTTAAGGACGATCAAAGGAAATTGGATGCACCTGAGCTCAATTTGGAGTGTCATAGCAAAGGAGTGTGAATACTTATGTAAATAAAATATGTATGTCTTTCATTTTCAAGAAAATAGCAAAAATTTTCTTAGAGCAGGTTTTCACTTTGTCATTATGGAGTATTGTGTGTAGATGGGTGAGAACAAACATATTTTTAATCAATTTTGAATTGTATTTTGCCGTGACAGCATGGTTTAATCATTCCTAACACAACAAAATGTGGAATAAGTCAATGGGTATGAATACTTTCTGAAGGCACTCTGTCACTGATAAGTAGTAGCTATACGCAGTAGCTATAAGAAGTAGCTAAGAAATCTCTTTCACCTTGAATGTTCCCTCATCGAATAATAAACAACAATAGAATGTATAGCTACGAACTCATATAATCTATTTTCCCATATGAATGTTGTGTTGACTGTGAAGGTACAGTATGTTCCTTTCAGCTGTTACAATATCATAAATAACCAGAAGAGGGCACCATATCCTAAGCATACACTTAGGACCAATTACGTTATTGAGAGGCTTTGAAGCCACCGGTTGGCCATATTGGCACTCCCCAGTATGTGATTTCCTTAGGAATGAGTGGAATTCTACAGTATTTCAATTCAATGTTTTAAGGACAAAATTACATATATTTAAGTATTTTTTTATTGTACTGGGGACAGTAACATTAGTAATCTCAAAACAGTATACTTTAAGACAAATGTTTTTATATATATTTACATTTTATTATGTTTAGCTCACAATATAATTTTAAATTATGCATTAAACTGTCTGTAATAGAATAACCATTGCAAAAATGAATAAAGACATTAATAAATGCATTTCCATAGTTTTCAAAATATTTTTTACAACGTGGGAGAGTGCCAAGATGGAGACGCAGTGGCTTCATCACAGCACCCCCTCAAAGTCATCTAGTGTATATATAAATCATTGCTTAGAACACAAGTACCTCTCCCATGAAAAAAGTTTTATGTAAAAGGAGACCGACATATTTATCAATTGTCATAATTACCTGCCATCTTGATCTGTAAGGGCTATTATTTTTAACTGAAATAGAAGACAGAGAAAAAGTTAGCTTGCACATTCAGAGCTAGTACCACTTCCTAGACTGAATTTGACTCCATGCAAATAGATACACAGTCTCATTTTCCTATTTCAAATAGAACCAAATACAGTAATATCAGTCAGTAGCTTATCATTTTTTTATATTGTTGTGTCCTCCAAAGCAGTTGATTTCAATTGAATGCTGTGTTAGTATACTTACTTGTCCCTGTCAAAAGAATTACAGCAAATTACATAATCTAATCTGAATAAATGCTCATATTATTGCAGTAAAGCCTATACTCTTTCTTAGTTTTGACATTAAGACAGTTGATGTCCAAGCAAAAGAGGAAATGTCTAAACCACTTCAGCCTGAAATTGTTACTTTCTTATAATTTATGTGAGAATAAAGTTTCCTCAGACTCCACATCTCTGATTGACCAAGTATTTTGCAGAACAAACACAATACCATTTGTATATTATGTAACTTGAATATAACTTGACTTAAGAACAATAAACCCAGTCCACAGAAGGGAATCATTAGAATGCAGCATCAAGTAAAGTCAGCATCATGTAAAGTCAGAAGCATTACTCAGGACCCCAGTGTAAATTACAGCTGCATTAGCATCTTCCACATAACTCAAGATGGACAGAATCAATGAGAGGTACAGTACAGTATCTGATCACTCAGCAGTCGGTTATACCCCTCAACCAGAAATTATAGCTGAACCTGATGTTCCTTAACACCCCCCAAAAATCAAGACCAGAGCATAGTACCATCCCTGCGCAAAAACTGTATTATGGAATGGAATCTGAATATTTCTGATTGCAGTAAATATGAGTTAATATGACCAAATAAGATATAAAATACTGTTCCCTGTGCGTTTTCTTCAGGCCTTCCTAAGTCCCAGAGGGCCGGAGGAGGAGGGAGGATCATTTCTGGGTGCATCAGGATGGCATGTGTAAACAGATCTCTCAGCTCAAATGGCTGCATGCCTGGGTCATGTGACGAGGGTGAAGCCTAGGTGTGTGGTTATTTTGAATATGCCTGAAACAACTGGCTAAACAGTTGGAGAGAAAACTGATCCTGTATAAATTGTTGTGGAATAAATGAAAAGGTCTGACACGAGTTGACCAAGAATCAGTCATTGCTGGCTGAAACAAAGGCGGTGGTAGGGAGGGTGCTTTTCAATCAGTTGTTGAGGGATAAGTATGAAAATGTATGCACTCATTAACTGTAAGTCGCTCTGGATAAGAGCGTCTGCTAAATGACTAAAATGTAAATGTAAATGTAAGTGTAAAACTCAGTGTGTCTTGGGATAGGAGAAGCTGACCCTACAATTTGGGTTTTCAGCGAGAAAGTAAGAAGTCTCCTTGCGTTAGGTTAAGAGCGTTGGGCCAGTAACTGAAACGTCGCTAGTTTGAATCCCAGAGCCAACTAGGTGAAAAATCTGTCTGTGCCCTTGAGCAAAGCACTTAACCCTAATTGCTCCTGTAAGTCGCTCTGGATAAGACCTCCTGAGTGGCGCAGTGGTCTAAGGCACTGCATCGCAGTGCTAGCTGTGCCACTAGAGATCCTGGTTCAAATCCAGGCTCTGTCGTAGCCGGCCGCGACCGGGAGACCCATGGGGCGGCGCACAATTGGCCCAGTGTCGTCCAGGGTAGGGGAGGGAATGGCCGGCAGGGATGTAGCTCAGTTGGTAGAGCATGGCGTTTGCAACGCCAGGGTTGTGGGTTCGATTCCCACGGGGGGCCGGTATGAAAAATTAAAAATTACGTATGCACTAACTGTAAGTCGCTCTGGATAAGAGCGTCTGCTAAATGACGTAAATGTAAATAAGAACACTAAGTGACTCAAATGTTTTAAAAAATGGGGTTACCATAGTCTGTTTGGACCCCAGGAAGAGTAGCTGTTCTGGAGGAAACTTTGCGGAGTGGTCACTAGCTGGCACAGCCACAAAGTCATACAATCTTATTTTAAACCTGACCTTAACCCTAACCGTAACCACACTCCTAACCCTAACCCGTAACCACACTGCTAACCCTAATGCCTAACCCTAACCTTAACCACACTGCTAACCCTAATGTCTAACCCTAACCTTAACCACACTGCTAACCCTAATGTCTAACACTAACCGTAACCACACTGCTAACCCTAATGCCTAACCCTAACCACACTGCTAACCCTAATGCCTAACCCTAACCTTAACCACACTGCTAACCCTAATGCCTAACCCTAACCTTAACCACACTGCTAACCCTAATGTCTAACCCTAATGCCTAACCCTAACCTTAACCACACTGCTAACCCTAATGTCTAACCCTAATGCCTAACCCTAACCATAACCACACTGCTAACCCTAATGCCTAACCCTAATGCTAACTTTAACCTTAAATTAAGACCAAAAAGCTGATTTTTGTTTTCATGAATTTGTACAATATAGCCCATTTTGACTGCAGCTGGCCTCTCTAAGGGGAATTCTCTCAGTTCTGCCTCCAGGACAAGACTCATGACAATAAAAGTCAACCTGCGGTTGAGAGTGTCCTGAGTTGAACTCCATGGAGAAATCAGAATATTAGGTTCATTTCGGGGTGAGTAGAATAATGGTTGCATGTTTGCTCGTGTCGTGGTAATCATTTTCAGTGCATAAACTCACAGGTTACCAACAACACACTATGGGCATTTCTGGTTTAAAAAATCCTATGATTAATTTTCCAGTGACACTGCCAAAGACACAGGTAGGCAGGTGACTAGTAGCATCTTAATTTGCTAAGCGTAGATGTCCTTTCATTTTCTTTGTGATTTTTTATAATCCACCAGAAAAAAAGTCACAGCTCAGACCTGTTCCACAGACAAGCTCAAGTATAAATTTCACCCTTGGAAAAGTGCTTCAATATGGCAGCCAGTACTTGATAAGATTATTCTACCCCACTCACAGAGGAGAAAGAAAGAAGTGGTAGGACTCTGTAGTCCAGGTCCAGGGTGGCAAGTTTTATGTAGAGCTGTTGACCCTGTGTCCTTTGTAAATGTCACCCAGGCGTCTGAGTCATCTCTGTGCCCCTTTGGGACTCCCACCCTGGCCTATTATGGTGCCCTCACTAGGCTGTGCAGCCTCCTTGGCATGCCAAACACACACCTCCTCCAATCAGGGGAGGACTGGGTACTGCCCAAGCAGCTGGGGTTAATCATGGCAGACCCTGGCCGTGACCCCACTCTCTGAGGGTGTCTCAAGGGGAGTTGGGATATGCAAAAAACACATTTCCAATTCACACGTGTATAATACACACATGTACATGTGTGAAATAGGACAAATATATAAAAAGTATGGTTAACTTCACATGAGGTGTTACGTGTGCTATATTGTGGTACACAGCACTATGTTGACCCCTTACATCGGCCATTACGTTGACTGTTATGTTTTCTACACGTTTTTTACACTAAGTATTTACCAACGGTGATGTCTTTTGGATGTCTTTTTTGGTCCTGTCCAGACCGAGCATCTTTTTTTCTGGTCCAGTCCTGACTTTATTTGGCCCAAACATAGAAGTCTATAATTGGTTCAGATTTGGTCCGATCCGGACCAGACCAAATCTGAAGCAATCATAGACATCTATGTTTCGCAAGTTTGGGCAGTACCGCACAGTACAGTAGAGCACAGCAGAGTACATTATATTACAGTAGAGTACACAGTACAGTAAAGAAAAGTAAAGTATAGTGTACTGTATTGCACCCTACTTTACTCTAATGTACTCTACTCTACTGAACTAAACTGTACTGTACTCTACCGAATTAAACTATACTGTACTGTACTCTACCGAATTAAACTATACTGTACTGTAGCGTACTTTAGTCTAGTGTACTCTACTGTACTCTACTTTACTCTACTGTACTGAATAAAACTCTGTCTTGCACTGTACCATACCATACAGTGCTGTACTCTACTGTGCTCTACTGCAGTGGTTCCCAAACTGTATAAACACAACATGTAAAGTGCTGGTCCCATGTTTCATGAGCTGAAATAAAAGATCCCAGAAATGTTCCATATGCACAAAAGAAGCATACATTCAAAATATTGCACTGCTTCCTGCAATGGACTTTTTTCAATTAATACAACGTGATTCCACAGACACTGTAATGTTTCAGCACCAAGGTCAGCGTCATCTGAATGCTCCAGAATCAACCCATTCAGTTTCCTCATGTAAGCCACGTGCGTAAAACCTGTACCAAGAAGCATCTGCTAACCCACTCGCCCCTAACTCAAGTCTGTGGATATCCAATGCACCTCTCTCTTTCCCCAGCATGTTATTGGTGTCTCCGGTCATGCAGTTCAGCTATAAAAAGACCCTGTCTGTCCCCTCTGCAGCTGTTCCCAGATACCATGTCAACCATTCGCAGAAAGCACATGGAAGGCTGGATTGCACTTGCTTAGCTGGTAAAGCCAATGTAAGTGTAGCAAAGAGTATTTAGCAATAAGTACATAATCTGTCAATACAACTGCAGTGTCCACAGCTCTCTGTTATGCAAAGCAGGTGATGTACTGTATTGTATGTGGTCCTCCTGTGGTACTGCTCCTTTAATAGTGGTGATATCCCTTTAAGGGAAAGCAGGAGAGCTTTTTGACATCATCAGCCCAGTCTGAGTTAAGATATTCTGTGGTCTTTACAGAGAGAGAAGGGGGGGTGAAGAGAGAGGGAGAGAAGGATGTGTACTGTAGCTGTGTGGTGTGTGGTGTGTGTGAGTTCCAGGCTGTAGGGCCTTTCTGGTTTGGATCTTTACCATTAACTGAGAAGAATCAATAGCATGAAAAGGTATGCAACACCCCGCATCAATGCAACGTGGCATATTGCAAATAACATGACAGCGGGTTGATGGGAATGAGCAACCGGACAGGCATAGGAGCACGTTGTTTCTGCCATGGACAATGAAGGATGAAAAATAGTAGAAAACAGCCAAGCCTGTTCTTTTGATCTCCTACTGTGCATGCAGTACAGGCATGGTCTAGTCCATTCACAGCCATGGTGGATGACACATAGAATGACACACACTTCATTTGGCTCTGACATTCTTACACCATAGCATGAAAATATATGCACTCACTAACTGTAAGTCGCTCTGGATAAGAGCGTCTGCTAAATGACTAAAATGTAAATAGCAGAATGAGGACAATGCTACATACAGTATGCAAGTGCCTCAGCTGCCCTTTTCCTCAGCCTTCCATAGCCTCTAAATGCATTGCATCAGAGAAGCACTTACAGCTAGGGTCAGGCGCCACTTCACAGTGCCACTCTCTCTCCCTCTCTGTCTCTCTCCAGTCTGTCAAGCAGCCCTGCCCACTATTCCCTCACAAGCCCCTCTCTGTGTTCCTGCGGCACAATTATGCCCCAAGCCCTGCTTCCTGCGCTTTTTATTCCTCTGCACCGCTGCCATTGTGTGGCTGTCTGTCCTCTGTACTGACCTCTCTGTAACGTTGCGGCTCTGTCCACAAGTGTGACTGTCCCTGGATCCTGTGTGTGTCTGAGCAGTGTCCCTGCTGCACGGCAGCTCTCCCTCCCCCTCCTCCACTTTTTATAGCACAGCTCAGCCTGCTCAGATACCAGTGCATTCTGGGAAAAGAGGGAGAGAGAGGAGGAGTGGGAGGGGGAGGTTGGGGTTTGTGGGCAGTGTGCCTGCAACTGCTGTAAGAATTAGCTATTGTCATCATGTGTTGTGTGTTCGATCCATGGCGGCTCCCTTTGCATTTACATTTTACACCCTGCTTCATTGAGGAGAGGTTGTGTAATCGAGGGGAAGAGAGAGAGTGAACTAGGAAGCTAGGGAGAGACCAAGCTAATGAGGAAGTCAGTTAGAGGGGGATTATCAGCTAACTGCAGATTGATATGTTGTTCCTTTAATACGGACAGAACCAACTGCTGGGGAGGGGGTGGCGCTACGTAGGAGGTTTGTGGTCTGTTCCAGCAGAAGACTTGAGATGTATGGGAATTACTTTGCCTTTGCTCAAAATGTTTTCCCATAGTCAGCCTCTCCTGTAACGTCATAGAGGAGAGGCTGTTTATGTGCAGGAAATGCCAGGAATTATCAAAGGACTCTCAAACAATAAAATAACAATGATGCATCTGTCTCTTTGCAATAAACAGGAAAAGAGCCATTGTGCTAAGGTGAACCACAACTCAAGCTGAATAAAGAGCACTGCATCTCTTTGCATACTGGTCACTGTTATGTAATCTCCTTTGGAAAACAGAGAAAAGCAAACCAACATGTTTGGTCAGTTCACTGTGCCTCGCCCAACCAAGGGCAAGTCAATTACACTCCCCATCCTTTTTTATGACCTTGTTTTTAGTTGCTGTTATAAGGAGTCGTTCTTGTCTGGGCGAGGAGACTAATTTGATAATGATGATGTAAAACGTTACATATCGGATATCTAAAGACTATCCACTTTGGGTGGGGGAAAATTGAATCATACACTGCACCAATTGGGTGTGGACGTAAGAATGGTTCTGCAATATAGTATGGGGTGTAATCAAAAAAAGGTAGGCACAACACAACAACACCTACATGCAATGTGTTGAAGTTGAAGCAAAGACGGTTGTTTGAAAGCATACTTTCTTATGGTAATGTATGGAACACTGTTGACGGGACATGACTACAGAGGCACATAAAACATTTGAATCAATATTTTATTAAAAGCAGACGGGACATCTTCATGTCCTCAAATACAAAAAAAGAAAATATATGTACATATGGTAGTGACAAATAGAAGCGTACCGGATAGATCTGGACCAAGTTTATCCTTACAAGAGATGAAAAAATAGAGGAAATTAGCTCTGTTTGGAAAACAGTTGGGACCTTGTAAGCCTCTTATTACAGAGATCGAGATGAATCATATAGATCACGACCCATCCTGAGTTAGGTTTATGACCCACCCTGGGTTAGGGTCATGACCCTTGAGGTACAAAGTAGAGCTACATGGTAAAACTAACACATTTACAAATGGAGTCCCAAAGAGGAAAAGCAACAAAAATGTCCATCGTGGATCATCTGTTAGGCAACACGTTTCTGTACGTTTAGATCTTACTACAAGCCGTTTTTTGATTAATTTCTCCAGTTTGCACCTGTCTTTGGTCCACTGGGTCTGCTACAGGATAACTCTGATAACCACAAGAGAATAGAAATACAATAGGCACTAACATTTTTTGCAAATATACTCTAACCTTTACATAATGATCTGAAAAAAATATGCAACGTATATACTGTACAATTAAGTATAGCTTGTCACTGAAATAATAAAAAGTGCTTAAAATCATTATACTTGCGCACAAGATTACACCCTCAACCTTCACTATTCAGGAATTACGAAAGTCTGTCATTTCCAATGATGTACACAAGACAGCTGTAGTACACATGTTTCACCACAAAGGGACAGTATACCAGCAGAATATATGACTAACCCCTCGTAGACAGTTGGAAACTGAAGACTAACAGCTATGGCATTGTAGCAGGAGATCCCTGCATAACACAGGATTATGTGTGCATAGGCTATACATATACTCCTGTGCTGTCCTAAAAAAGTCCCCGATCCATTGGACTGTCAGCTCTAAGCTCATTGGTCAGAGACAAGTCAATCAAGTTGATGGCATTGTGGGGGCTTAATCATTACATTACATTTTAGTCATTTAGCAGACGCTCTTATCCATAGTTTAGTTAGTGAGTGCATACATAATCATTAGACATTTGTTGATTGCAATCAGTATACTGCCTATATACTGCACTAATGGCACTTCCATGGCCTAACTGAAGAGATGCACATTGATTCGAGCTTGATTCAACTATCTCTAAAACAATATTTTCTTGATATTTTGTATACTATTATACATAAAAATGTATTTTCTTTGACTATTTTGAAAAAATGCTTTTTAAATTTTTTTTATACCTGTTTGTACTCCAGAGGAAATGAACTCTATAATGAATAGACCTTGACTAACCATGCTGTTTTATAATTATTCCTGTAGTCTCTTGAGCTGTTGTCTAACACTGAATGTAATTTTGCCACTACAAACTATAGCCAATACTGTTTGTCACCAATAATACCAGCAGCAATCATCGTCATCCTTCAAACCGAATACTACTCCATTATGCGCTTCGAAACCACAGACCCCTGACACTTAGGAATACAATCTGAGTTTGAAAAAAACGGATTAAGGCAGTAGATGGGGTAAATATCAATATCTCGCATTTCTTTTTGTCGTCTCAAACCCTAGCGAAACACCTCATTCACATAGATTTATCCTATAAATTCAGTTTCACCTCTATCGGATTTGTACAGCTTTCAAACCTAAATAGATTCACAACAGCTGAAAGAGTGCCACCTATTGCACATTGTGTTTGGATCTTGCATCACACATCAATCTAATTTACTTCAATCCCGATTCTCCTCTCAATTAATTTTGCCAGTGGCACACCGGGCCAGTGCCAACTGGGAGCTACTGGCTCCAATGAAATGAATACTGGCCCGGTAAAGCGGATGATGCATGCATCATTTAAATGTTATTTTTAATTTGTGGGCAGAGTAAATAGCTTATAATGATTTACCCTCCAAACAGAAATAATTACATTTTAACTTGACAATATCATGATTGTTTGGAGGGAAAAAATAAAACCTTGCGCAATCTCAAAAATTGTGTTAATAGCTAGGTTTCCATCCAATTGGCGACAGATTTTCATGCGAATATTCTAATGCGCCTTTTCCCACCAGAGATGTGTTTCCATCAAATTGACTTGTTACGGATAAAAGGCTGTGCGTATATTTGAGGTTATGAAATAAAAATAAAAAAGTTTAATGGGTTTCCATCACATTTTCAAGTCTACTGATGGTTTTGTCACAAAATAAATTGAGTTATATAGCGAATGTGCCCACTCGTCTTTGCACGTGCGCTCTAGCCAACAGCTCGCAGATACAGTGCGGGTATAGTCTACATGATGAGATTATTATAGATAAATGGCAGATTATTATTTGTCAAATGGCAGCCAAGCATCATGTCACCAGAATAACACCCTCAATATTTATTGGACAGGAGCATCAAGCTCATTACCGTGCACTTTCATCACCATGTGAAGTTCATCATAACTTATTTCATCTGTAGCCTAATAAACTGCATGGTTTCCCGAGTCGTAGTGGGATGACCACACAACATATCATCGCGTGAGTCCATGTTTACTTCGATATGATGATTATTATATCAATATTTGTGCATAAAGGCGTTTCCACCACCATTCCTCACATAATTGATTTTACAGACACAAAAAGATCCCACCTTGTGTAGCGTATTTTGTTTTACCGATAAATTAGCTGTTTACATCAGGCCTGTCCTGAATTTTTTTTATCCGACATGTACTTAACTCACATAAAAAGGTTGGATGGAAACCTGGTTAGTGTTGGCGATTTTGAACAGTCAGTCTACAGTTGTAGGGCCCTATAAAAAAATTGGAATACCTGGTTTGCATACCCATTGTTGCTGCCCACTGCTGTTTGAATAAATCTTGATAATAGAAAAAAGCACATTGTGAACCAAAAACTAACATGACAAGCAAAACATTTTCACTGGCAACCTAGTGACCAAAGAAAAAATTGGTTTTACATTGCCAAGTCAAAGGGTCGCAAATGCAAGTGTTTTGGTCGCAGTCTCGAATCCTGCCCCCAGGGCTGTTTGCTTGGGCCCCTAGCTGGAGTCCCTGGATGGGTCGGAGTCGGGCCCGTCCTGTTCTTCTGAGGGGAGGTGGACCCGCTGTTCGTCCATGCGCTTGGCCTGTGCCCTCTGGATCAGACTGAAGAAGTCCTCGTCAGGCACCGTGGGGGCCCGGGGCCCCCCTTCTGGTGGGGAGCACCGCTGGTCATCGATCCTGGAGGACTGGGTTTAGACCAGGAGAGTGAGATAAATAGTGACAGAGAAGGAGAGACAGACATCTAAAATTGCAATTCATGAGTGCTGCAATTTATGAATGCATAACCTGAGATAAGCACAAATATTTGGGTCTTTTACCTAAATTATGCATTGATGGATGTCAATGGGAGACTCTCAGACTCAACACGAAAATGAAAGTTATTAGCACAGATCTAAGGTTAAGATTCAACCCATAGAGATTCTGAGGCAGTGAGACATGGCCTTACCTGGCACTTGATGAGCATGTTGAAGAAGTCATCACTGGGCTCCTGGGGGTCTGCGTCAACACACAGGTGGCCCAGGTTGTTGTGGGTGATCCTGAGGCCGGGCAGGTTGCTGACACTGACCCGCTGGTCGTCCAGGCGACGGCTCTGGGAGCTGACGATCAGGTCAAACAGTTCCTCTGTCTGGGGCGAGGTGATGAGCGCTGAATCTGAGAGAAAAGGGAGGAGGATTATTTTCATTTACTGTAATTGACCCCAAAAAATCAAAGCCACACATTTCGGACTAGAGATGTCCAGCAATGTGTGCTTTGAGTGATGCATTGAGTCATGCATTGATGTCAAAGGAATGGAAGTAATGGAATTCCCAAGAAGTATCAGGGATCCTCTAGCTTTAGACCGTCGTAACAGCACTAATTCGCTAACCTACCTAGCATTTCATTGAGAGAGACGGCCCCTCCGTTCTCGCCATTTTCTCCGTTCTCTCCATTCGGGTCGTCGAGGTGGCAGCGCTGGTCGTCCATGCGGCTGCTCTGGAACTTGCTGAGGAGGTCGAAGAAGCAGTCCTCATCAGAGGGGTCACGACCTAGCTTCTGAAACAGAGGGACATGGACGCTAAGTGATATAACAGGCAGCACAACCCCTCATCCCACACACACTGACCCACTTGTCTCTTATATCCTGTTTATGTGCTTCCTGTTTGGCTTGTATAAGAGGATGCCTGTTTTGGGGCGAGTGGTGTTCCAGATTTTATTTAACCTTAATTTAAACAAAGAGTCATGCTGAGATCACGGTCTCCTTCACAGATTAGAGATAGATAGATAGATAGATATACAAAAGTATGTGGACACCCCTTCAAATTACTGGATTAGGCTATTTCTGCTGACAGGTGTATAAAATGAAGCACACAGCCATGCAGTCTCCAAAGACAAACACTGACAGTAGAATGCCTTACTGAAGAGCTCAGTGACTTTCAACGTGGCACCGTCATAGGATGCAACCTTTCCAACATACACGTGTTTAGCAGTTATAGCGGGTGTAGTGAAATGCTTGTGCTTCTAGCTCCGACAGTTCAGTAATATCTAACAAGTAATATCTAACAATTTCACAACATATACCTAATACACACAAAACTAGTAAGGAATGGAATTTAAGAAAATATACATATATGGACAAGCAATGACAGAGCGGCATGGACTAAGATACAGTCGAATATTATAGAATAGAATGCAGTATATACAGTTGAAGTCGGCGGTTTACATACACCTTAGCCAAATACATTTAAACTCAGTTTTTCACAATTCCTGACATTTAATCCTATCAAAAATTCCCTGTCTTAGGTCAGTTAGGATCACCACTTTATTTTAAGAATGTGAAATGTCAGAATAATAGTAGAGAGAATATTTTATTCCAGCTTTTCTTTCTTTCTTTCATCACATTCCAAGTGGGTCAGAAGTTTACATACACTCAATTAGTATTTGGTAGCATTGCCTTTAAATTGTTTAACTTGGGTCAAACTTTTCGGGTAGCCTTCCACAAGCTTCCCACAATAAGTTGGGTGAATTTTGGCCCATTCCTCCTGACAGAGCTGGTGTAACTGAGTCAGGTTTGTAGGCCTCCTTGCTCGCACACGCTTTTTCAGTTCTGCTCACAAATTTTCTATAGGGTTGAGGTCTGCCACCCCCGTGCTTCACGGTTGGGATGGTGTTCTTCGGCTTGCAAGACCCCCCTTTTTCCTCCAAACATAACGATGGTCATTATGCCCAAACAGTTCTATTTTTGTTTCATCAGACCAGAGGACATTTCTCCAAAAAGTACGATCTTTGTCCACATGTGCAGTTGCAAACCGTAGTCTGGCTTTTTTATGGCGGTTTTGGAGCAGTGGCTTCTTCCTTGCTGAGCGGCCTTTCAGGTTATGTCGATATAGGACTTGTTGTACTGCGGATATAGATACTTTTGTACCTGTTTCCTCCAGCATCTTCACAAGGTCCTTTGCTGTTGTTCTGGGATTGCTTTGCACTTTTCGCACCAAAGTACGTTCATCTCTAGGAGACAGAACGCGTCTCCTTCCTAAGCGGTACGACGGCTGCGTGGTCCCATGGTGTTTATACTTGCGTACCTTCAGGCGTTTGGAAATTGCTCCCAAGGATGAACCAGACTTGTGGAGGTCTACACATTTTTTTCTGAGGTCTTGGCTGATTTCTTTTGATTTTCCCATGATGTCAAGCAAAGAGGCACTGAGTTTGAAGGTAGGCCTTGAAATACATCCACAGGTATACCTCCAATTGACTCAAATTATTTCAATTAGCCTATCAGAAGCTTCTAAAGCCATGACATAATTTTCTGGAATTGTCCAAGCTGTTTAAAGGCACAGTCAACTTAGTGTATGTAAACTTCTGACCCACTGGAATTGTGATGCAGTGAATTATAAGTGAAATAATCTGTCTGTAAACAATTGTTGGAAAAATTACTTGTGTCACGCACAAAGTATATGTCCTAACCGACTTGCCAAAACTATAGTTTGTTAACAAGACATTTGTGGAGTGGTTGAAAAACAAGTTTTAATGACTTCCGACTTCAACTGTACATATGAGATGAGTAGTGCAAAATATGTAAACATTATTAAAGTGACTAGTGTTCCATTTCTTAAAGTGGCCAGTGATTTCAATAGGCAGCAGCAGCCTCTAATGTGCTAGTGATGGCTATTTAACAGTCTGATGGCCATGAGATAGAAGCTGTTTTTCATTCTCTCGGTCCCAGCTTTGATGCACCTGTACTGACCTCGCCTTCTGGATGATAGCGGGGTGAACAGGCAGTGGCTCGGGTGGTTGATGTCCTTGATGATCTTTTTGTCCTTCCTGTGACATCGGGTGCTGTATGTGTCTTGGAAGGCGGGTAGTTTGCCCCCGATAATGCGTTCGGCAGACCGCACCACCCTCTGGAGAGCCCTGCGGTTGCGGGCGGTGCAGTTGCCGTACCAGGTGGTGATACAGCCCAACAGGATGCTCTCAATTGGGCTTCTGTAAAAGTTTGTGAGGGTTTTAGGTGCCAAGCCTAATTTTTTCAGCCTCCTGAGGTTGAATAGGCTCTGTTGTGCCTTCTTCACCACACTGTCTGCGTGGGTGGACCATTTCAGTTTGTCGGTGATGTGTACGCCAAGAAACTTGAAGCTTTCCACCTTCACTGCTGTCCCGTCGATGTGGATAGGGGGGTGCACCCTCGGCTGTTTCCTGAAGTCCACGATCATCTCCTTTGTTTTGTTGACATTGAGAGTACTCCTGAGTTGCGCAGTGGTCTAAGGCACTGCATCGCAGTGCAAACTGTGCCACTAGAGATCCTGGTTCGAATCCAGGCTCTGTCGCAGTCGGCCGCGACCGGGAGACCCATGGGGCGGCGCACAATTGGCCCAGCGTCGTCCAGGGTAGGGGAGGGAATGGCCGGCAGGGATGTAGCTCAGTTGATAGAGCATGGCGTTTGCAACGTCAGGGTTGTGGGTTCGATTCCCATGGGGGGCCAGTATATATTTTTTTTTAAAGAATAAAAAAAAATGTGTTCACTAACTGTAAGTCGCTCTGGATAAGAGCGTCTGCTAAATGACTAAAAATGTAAAAATGTAAATGAGTGAAAGGTTATTTTCCTGGCACCACACTCCCAGAGCCCTCACCTCCTCCCTGTAGGCGGTCTCGTCATTGTTGGTAATCAAGCCTACTACTGTTGTGTCGTCTGCAAACTTGATGATTGAGTTGAAGGCGTGCTTGGCTACGCAGTCATGGGTGAACAGGGAGTGAGAGGTTATTTTCCTGGCACCACACTCCCAGAGCCCTCACCTCCTCCCTGTAGGCGGTCTCGTCATTGTTGGTAATCAAGCCTACTACTGTTGTGTCGTCTGCAAACTTGATGATTGAGTTGAAGGCGTGCTTGGCTACGCAGTCATGGGTGAACAGGGAGTACAGGAGGGGGCTGAGCACGCACCTTTGTGGGGCCCCAGTGTTGAGGATCAGTGAAGTGGAGATGTTGTTTCCTACCTTCACCACCTGGGGGCGGCCCGTCAGGAAGTCCAGGACCCAGTTGCACAGAGCGGGGTTCAGACCCAGTGCCTCGAGCTTAATGATGAGCTTGGAGGGTACTATGGTGTTGAATGCTGAGCTATAGTCAATGAACAACATTCTTACATAGGTATTCCTCTTGTCCAGATGGGATAGGGCAGTGTGCAGGCGATTGCATCGTCTGTGGATCCATTGGGGCGGTAAGCAAATTGAAGTGGGTCTAGGGTGACAGGTAAGGTAGAGGTGATATGATCCTTGACTAGTCTCTCAAAGCACTTCATGATGACAGAGGTGAGTGCTACAGGGCAATTTAGTTCAGTTACCTTTGCTTTCATGGGTACAGGAACAATGGTGGCCAACAGCATGTGGGAACAGCAGACTGGGAAAGGGAGAGATTGAATATGTCCATAAACACACCAGCCAGCTGGTCTGCGCATGCTCTGAGGACGCGGCTAGGGATTCCGTCTGGGCCGGCAGCCTTGCGGGGGTTAACATGCTTAAATGTCTTAATCATGTTAGCCACGGAGAAGGAGAGGCCACAGTCCTTGGTAGTAGTCTTCCTCAAAGCGGGCGAAGAAGGTGTTTAGCTTGTCTGGAAGCGAGACGTCGGTGTCGGCGACGTGGCTGGTTTTCCTTTTGTAGTCCGTGATTGTCTGTAGACCCTGCCACATACGTCTTGTGTCTGAGCCGTTGAATTGCGAATCACGCTTCACCATCTGGCAGTCCGACGGATGAATCTGGGTTTGGCGGATGCCAGGAGAACGCTACCTGCCATAATGCATAGTGCCAACTGTAAAGTTTGGTGGAGGAGGAATAATGGTCTGGGACTGTTTTTCATGGTTCGGGCTAGGCCCCTTAGTTCCAGTGAAGGGAAATCTTAACGCTACAGCATACAATGACATTCTAGACGATTCTGTGCTTCCAACTTTGTGGCAACAGTTTGGGGAAGGGCCTTTCCTGTTTCAGCATGACAATGTCCCCGTGCACAAAGTGAAGTCCATACAGAAATGGTTTGTTGAGATCGGTGTGGAAGATCTTGACTGGACTGCACAGAGCCCTGACCTCAACCCCATTGCTAGGATTTTGCCTGTGCTTAGCTCTATTCTGTTTCTTTTTATCAAAAAAAAACCTCCCCAGTCCTTAACGATTGCAAACATACCCATAACATGATGCAGCCACCAGCTACCACCATGCTTGAAAATATGAAGAATGGTACTCAGTGATGTAATGTGTTGGATTTGCCCCAAACCCAACACTTTGCATAAAGTGCATTTCTTTGCCACATTTTTTGCTTTTTTACGTTAGTGCCTTTCTCTCTGGCATCTGAGTTAGGAAGGACACCTGTATCTTTGTAGTGACTGGGTGTATTGATACACCATCCAAAGTGTATTTAAAACTTCACCATGCTTAAAGGGATATTCAGTGTCTGCTTTTTCTTTTTCACTCTTCTACCAATATTTGCCCTTCTTTGCAAGGCATTGGAAAACCTCCCTGGTTTTTGTGGTTGAATCTCTGTTTGAAATTCACTGCTACACTGAGGGACCTTA